AATTTCCAGCTTGATGGATGCTAGAAAATGGGTGTAAATATTCAGCTGTGATTCTTTTCCCAAAGATTCTCACCCCGTTTGCAGGCCACAGTCAAAAAAGCCCAGTCTTCAGCTGTGTTGTGTAAAGCTATTTGTTGAAAAAGCTGCCACTGCAGATGTCAGAAAAGTTAAATGGTGTCACAGGATCACCTCTGTCCTGTCCTTAAGAGACCTAAAGCACATAGGTGAAACTAATACTAATCCATCACCGTATAGTTCTTTTCTTCTGTTCAATAGGTATTTTCCTATTTTTCTTTTCTAATGCCTTTTCTCTCTTTTATTCGTCCTCTCTCCCACTCATCATAGGAATAATGAAGAATTAGTTTGCTCCTTCTTGGTAACCATTACTTGGTTATTTACCCAAATAAATATTTAAGCAAGGATAAGAGAAGGAAACCACTTCATTCCCATGCTGCTGTTTGTGAAAATTGTGGAAAACAATGATCAAAAACAATGGTAGCACATTACCACTGAAGTATCCATGTTATTTAGATGCAGACTGATAATTAGGACAGCATTTATCTAACTGTCACAGATTTACTTCAAATAATGTTTGAATTAAATTTTAGAAAACATCTTTATATGTAAAAATATTTTAACAGTTAAAAAACCAAAGTTTAAATTTCATTAAATGAACTAGAGTTCCACAGGGAAATATGAACTGAAAACTGCAAGATGCCCTTGAAAGACCGAACTTAAACAAACTCTTGAATTTCAGATGTACATTTGATCAGTTCTTAATCTGATTCCAGAAGTTGATCACATACTCTCTTCACCTGAAGAAGATCACTTCTCCAGTTAGGAGACAGGTATTTTGAATCTCTGAATGCTTTATAGAATCTTAAACAGTACAATGTCTTTTATTTGGAAAACTGAAGATTATGATATTTATTTCATAGTTAGTACTAAGAGTACTGATATTTTATCCATATTGCAGATAACTATTGAACAGCTCAGACTGAATCACTTACCTTATAGAAATAAATACATGTTTTGTATAGCTTTTTTCCTTGTTCATTCTTGTTGAATGTTGAAAGCATAGTCTAACTGATATGAAAAAGTTTCTTCTGATATTTACCATTTGATTTATTTCCTTGTTGTTCCCAGTATGGCCAAAATCCAGGCCCAAATATTTCAGTAGTAAAATGACCATAAGTTTCAATAGAAACTTTATGTGCGTCACCAAAGAAATTACTGAAATTACTTGGGTAAGCCTATTATTTTGCGCTTATATATATCAATAGGTACATAATTTTGACAGCTGTTGATAGGTTGCAAGAAAAATATTCCTCCTGTCCTAAAAATACTCTGGCTTACTATTTACAGCATAGTTCAGCATATGCAATGGCACAAAGAATGTTTGATAGCTTGATAAAATATGGTAATAGGACATATGAAATAAGAATTTAAAGTGTAGGCTGTGCAGCTATGTTAATCTAGAAAATATTTTCTCATGATAAAGGCCTTCAGTACTCTACATGCTGAGTAATTTCAGTCAGCTCAATCAAATCTAAACTGAGTCATGACATAAACATGCTCATAGACTGCTGAAATGAAAGCATGAAAAAAAACCAAACTTCAATAAAACAGATATTAACTAGGGCTAATTTAGTTACATATAATCAATATATCAATAATTGATTTTGATCCCAATTTGAATTAAGCTATCTGAATCTAGTTTTTTCCACTGTAACCTATAACTATTTTCATCAACCTTTAACAATGGCATAAATTGTTGGAGAAGAATAGTAACTGGAAGATTTAGGTTTAAATTGTAGCAAAGGGGATTGATAACTTTTCTAAAAATACTGTGTGACTGCCAAGCTTAATTATTTTAGATTCTGCAGAGATAATGAAGTAGAACACTAAACATTTCTTAACACAGGAATCTGAATTCTGCCCCACTGAAAACCTGATTTTTGCTCACTGTTTGTTTTGTCAAATATGAATAAAGACACTGGGCGGGGAAGAAACTTATAAAACAGCATGAACTCCAAAAACTTTTTCCCACTCAGTGCCATTTTAGGTCTTGTGAAGTTGTATTTATGTAATTCTGTACCATGTTTAGCCCATTATTGCAATAAACCCACCACCACCCATCGAATGTCACAGATTACTCTCTGACGATTTTTATATAAAGAGATGACCACTATATCAAATTGAATAATGCCTCAAAAGTGGCGTTAAACAGAACATGCAGTGTTTGAAGTAATATAACTACATCTTACCTTATAATCAAAAGTGGTGACAGAAAATTCCTTTTTATATTTACACCCATATTTATTTATTAGTTAGTTGCTGGATATTTACTGCTACATATTTGTGAGACAATTAGAATTTTATAGGAAACTACTATGTTAGAAAGAATCAATTCTTACATGGTTTTGGTTCCTGTATCCTTCTGACAGGTCTTCCCAACAAATATTGGGGAAAAGTAAAATCCAGGGAGTATGATCATTTTAATGTCACACTTTGATATCAAAAATATATTAGCCCCAACAAAGTTAAGAAAAGCAATTCTGTCATTAAGCCAGATAACTAAAGGTCTTCTTCAATGCAGTCTTTCTATGTTTATTCAATGAATTCAATGAATTGCAAGATATACAATACAACTAAATCCTCATTTACTTATATAATAACAACTTTGAAATGTTAAATAAGTCTCTTATTGAATACATTATCAATTATAAATAAAAATTCAGCATTTTTCTATTTCTTTTGCTTTAAAAATAAAATCCTTTTTGTATTTTTATTATATGTTTTATTCAGTTGCTGGTTAACAGAAAAGTTACTGTGAAAGTTATTTTTGCTGGTATATGAATGTGTTCAAGTGAATAGTTTGAATTTTCATTTTTCTTTTCTATTTTAAAGTCTTGCACAAACAATTAATTAATCCTCACAACATCCCTGTGAGGTAGGTACTTAGGCTGTATTAAAAAAAAAAAGGACTGAAGAAAAATTCACTGATTCAGCAAAACCAAAACTCAGACAGTAACAAGGCAGTTGAACTTCTTACTCTGATTAGAGCCATGAAAATATACTGCCATTCACCAGTTTCAGTAGCTTCTGTAAAAATTCTAAAATATTTCATACAAATACCACTTCGCTCATTGTCAACAGTGATATTTCTCATCAGAAATGAGGATATAGTAATTATCCTGTACATTGCAAATTTCAATGACTAATGTCCTCATTCTCCAGATAAATACACATAGCCCTATTGCATGAAAGATTTGACAATATTTTAAAAATTAACCATTACAGGAATATAAAAATATAAATAATATATTTTAACAATAAAAATTCATGTAATGGTTACATGGCTTTAAAAAGTCAGTGACTGTATTGTTCTGACCAAGTCAAAAGCACATGTGCTGCTGTATCTACCTTATATATTTTAAATAAAAATATGCTAATATATAGTTTTATTGATTTGCCAGTAGAATTTTATAATGGATATACTCATCGTATATCATGGTAGGTGTCGGGTGACATAAAAAGCATATTGACAGCAGAATGTTCTTATATTAATTGCATGCACATTCTTATTTTTCACTTGCTTATCAAAGGAACAAATATATTCATTATAAGAAAAGACTCATTTACAAGACAAAGTGAAGTCTAGCTCCAAGCCATGCTCTAGCTCCATGCCAGTATAAATGATTTGCAACTGATTACATCCATCAAGTTTAATATAAACCATAGTAATCTGAAAAGAGTAATCAGATGGAACAGGGTTTAATAACATACAAACCAAAGTTATTGTTTCTCTAATTGTTTCCATTAACTGCATAGCTATCCCATCATTATATTTATATATACATTACATAATTTAGTAGTAAAAAAGTTAAAAATACATAGTACATTATATAGAAGACTATATTGACCAAGAGGTTATACAGTATTTTTGATTTTTAGAACTTTCTTTTCTTTTTTTAAAACATAGTTGACAATATATCAATGAGAGATACCACTTTATGTACTTAAATTTCATTATCCTGTCAGTTTTGCCCCTCTGCAATCTAGGTGCGTTTAAAAATAATAAAAATATAATTATCTTTTTTTTTTTAAACACTCCTTTACCACTAGCACTTTTAAGATTACAGAAGAGCACATAACGCAACAACTTTCTTGAGAGCAAATCTTATCTTTCTTCATATAAAATCAAAAGCCCAGATTACAATGAGCAGAGTAGGAGGAATGGTACGGAAAAACTGCCATGTAAATGCAAAAACAATCTCTGGCAACCTTCCAAATGGGTAATACCCAATACCTATTTTGGGCATAAACCTAGAAGAGTGACAGTTTATTTCCCTTTTCTTTATGCAGTTATTGCAACATGTAGAAACCAGTAGGAAAAATTATATTTTATATACAACTGAACAACTCAAAATCAGAAGACACAAAGTTGGTTCATAAAATTATGTTTTCATCCTGTCAAATTTCAAAGTACACTTTCTTGCAAAAATTCCTCTGAGAAATCAAGCATTTGAAGAAGCAGCTGTGTATATATAGTGTCATAAGAAGTTTTTTTTTCAGTCTCTTCCTAAAATGGGTATAACATGTTATGGACAAATAAAAAAACAATTAAAATTGGCATGGGATGGGTAGTTCGAAAAGGACAATTTTTCTGATTTACACGTTCACTGAACAAACTAGATGCATGGCAAACTGACGTTTTTAAACTGGAAAATGTTATGGAAAAATAATGAGGCAACAGAAATAAACATGAATTTTTCATTGCTGAGTTTTTTGTAATTAACTGATTAAACTTAAGGGCAATTTTAAGACCAAAGCAGAGAACTACTGTATTAGAATACAAAGATTCCCCCACTTGCAGACAATAGGGTTTTTCTTATTAATATCTGAAGACTTAACACTGACCCTGAAGCTCTCATTGTTAGTAGGATGCTGTTAGTAGTAGCAGTTGCAAACATATGGGTTTGCCAGTAACAACTCACAATTTGTGCATAGTTGAGTCTTCGAAACTGAGCAAATTTGCTCTCAATATCTCGCCAGCGCTTGCTGAGCTGTATCAGAGTTGGCTCCACTGCTTTTGCAGCCCCATCCTTAGACAAGCGTTCAGCCTGCCTGTGCACCGCATTCAGATCTTCCTTCTTCTTCTCCAATTCTCCATCAATCTCCTAGTGAGCAAAACCAATACAGGGCCCAGGACAGTTAGCTAACTTAAAATTAGCAAAATACTTCTGTCAGAAATTCCATTTCCATTTTATTGTTACAATTAAAATTTACAGCTATTTCATGCCTTATTTTACATTTAAACAAAACAAAAATAACTAAAATTGAAGAACCTTCTTGGAGATCAGCTGTAGAGATACTAACAGCTACTACACACTGAAAACTAGTTAGCAAAGGCCAACAGTTTCCACTTCCAGATTCTTGCTAGTACTCTGTGATGGGCAATTGGAGAAATTATTTTCTCAATAAGGGTCAGGATGTTCAGGACAAATAGTGTTTGGACAGCTCACAAATATATTATTTGACTTTTTAATATATTACTTAAATCCTATTTTATTCTGTGGGAAACTCAACAGAGAATGAAGCAAAGAAAGACGATGCAAAATAAACTAGGAAAATCTTTCACAGTATGTAAATAAATCTATAGAGATCGACAGTGACATATGAATATGTTTTGATGAAAATGAATGTGCTAACATGTGAAAGAGGTCATCCATATATCGGTAAGTCATTTGTTCATCTGGAACAAAGATACATAAAATCAATTACAATTTTTACTAGAAAACATTTGATGCTTCTTAATATATTGCACACTTTCCATATTATCATAAAAAAATTATTTATGTAACATTCTGTATAACAAAGAAATACAACATATAGTACAACAAAGAAATGTCAGTTTGAACACAGATAACTATGTTTTACTTTAAATAAAAATAAAGAACCGAACTGACAGTTTTCTGTATCTATTTGAAATTTTCTTGCATTTGCTGTCTGTTAAATTCATAAGTTATTGCTCAAAAAGATCTACCACTGCCATCCCAAAACAACATTACCTTTAGCTTCTGCTCATCTTTGTGGTCTGGTAGACTGGCTAACTTTTTCTCAATGTCATCCAGCCATGTCATTAGGTCATCAGCCTGCCTCTTGTACTGATACCATTGATGAGAAATTTCTAAAGCCTTTTTTCTTCTTTGAGATCTCAAGTCCTGTTCACAGTGCAGACATTATCAGAATATGTATTAAAGGCTTATAAAATATGAATTGGCATGTGTGCACACTGAAGGGGAAAAAAAGTGCACAAGGCCACTATTTGTTTTAATTAAACTTTGATATTTAAATCAAGTATATAGGTATCTGAAAACAGCATATTTTCTTCAGTTTAACAGTATATAAGTAACCAAACACAGCATATTTTCATAAATTTAACACATTATTTTTTCTTTTAAAGCAGGCTCCCTAATTCAGGGTTGTTCACATTTCAAATAAACCACTGAGACAGTCACCAATATTCAGAGAAGTTAAGACTCTTACATAAATGTCAATATTTTATATAAAACACTTCTGCTCAGAATACTTGCTGGACAGATGGAAACACAGCCCACTTAGTATCCAGCCATAAGTGGGCTTCCTGTGTTTTGTGGTCTCCTGTGAAATTCTACTCTGCATGCAAACTCTGTAGCTATTCAAAAGAAAATCATTTAAATGCAGAAATGTATGCAAAGACAGGCTTCCTTTTTCTAAATTAAATACCATTTACATAACAAATGTCTTGTGCTTGTGACTCAGCTTGATAAACGTATTAAGGTTAAAAAAGATAAAGTTAATAAATGTTATTTTAGTTCATATAACTATTGTTAAATACATACCATTTGCATTAGCTTTAACTGCTTAAATTGCTCATACAGAATTCAGAAAACATTTTCACTACTATAACTTCTTATTAAGAAGTAAATTAAAAAATTACTGGTACTTTTTATATAAAAATAGTTTGATGAATTTACTTCAACCATTCTTGAATTTTATCTGACAAGGTTGAACACCTTAACTGAGTGACCCAAAGGAAAATCAATTACTTTGTTCCATAAAAACAGCCCGTAAGGATCTGGTCAATAATAGTGTCTAGAAACACTTTTCTCATTTCTCCTCCACAAAAATTATGAATTACATCCATTTAACTTGGAACAGTCAAAGACACACTGAATAGATTTCAAGTTTCTTTTAAAGGTGGACAAAATAATGGTATATCCCAGTTACTCTTTTAGTGAATTCATACAGATCTGCAAAACTGTAAAAAAAGTATGAAAACCACAGGAAAGGAAAGATGCTGCTTAAAAATAAATAATAAAAAAGTAACCATGTTATATTCCCCGAGCCAAGAACAGCTTAATGTAAATTTTCAAAAGAAAGAAAAATTGTGCTTGCCAATGAGATGAAAAATTCTTTTCTATTAGCCGGAGCCTACAGCTCCGCATAGGTGACCAAGGTGACTTTCCAACTCTAAGATTCTTTCTTTCCTTAGTTTTATTTTTCCCTAGAAAGACAACACTTCCAATTAAGACTATTAGCTTGTCCAAATTGGTCTCAGTGTGGATGTTTCTAGGAAGAGTATCATAAAGTTATACCTCCAGGAGTGTGATAACAGAATTTTGATATGTGACACTGGTTTTCAGCCTCTTAGCTGCTAGGTCTATTGGTACTACCACCTACCCTGAAGTAACCTTTCCCACTAAAAGAGCATAGAGCATATCTTTTACTAAAGGATAAAACAACTTACTCATTGCCAGAAGTACGTTCTACAACTGATAAGATAAGTTTGGAGAACTGATTCTAACTAAGGTCTTGGCTGCTGTTGGAGACACAGAAAACATGCATAGTATGTTAAACAAAAAAGGAATTACTATCAAAGAAATCATTGCAGTCCAACTGGCAATCACATGGTTGTAACACTGAGAGGAAAACAGTACTTGTTAAGTTGGAGATTTAAACTGTCTTTTCCAAGGCATAAAAAGAAGTATATGAGAAAAACATATATATTTATAGCTAAATAGTTTTAAATTACTCATCTCTAAATAGTAATGAAGTTTCATTTAATTTAACAGTACAATGCCCTGAAATTAAGGAAAAAATGTTTTAGTAGCATGTGTTTATAACTGTAGCTCCTATACCTTGAGAGCATTATGTTTAGTCTGCAACAGCTGCTGTTTTATTTTTATTTCCTCCCGTTTTCTCTCATCTGTGATTCTCTTTTGAAGCGTGTCACCCCTTTGCAGCAATTCTTTCACCGTGGTCTCGTCATCTTCACTCTGATTTTAAAAAAAACAACAACTATAATGGGCATTTAAATCTAATTATTACTTAAGTACTAGGAGATACAGACACATAAAAACTACACTTCCTCTGCTAAGGTAATCATCTAACAGCTACCTGCTGTTCTACACTGAAGACCAAATAGCTTTTACCTGCATTCTACAACACATGATAACACTTGAAGGGTATAAGTAAAATAGCATTTGAAAATCTGCAGATGTTTGATATTAGATTATATGCAGCGTCCAGGATAATGGGATGAAAACACTAAAGGCAAAAATGTAAAGTATATTTTACTTTAAAACAAAAAGCATAGAAATATCTAAAATATTTTAAATCACTGTTGCTAGTCATGGAAATTGCCAGCATGATAGGAAACCATGTAATGCCTGACCATTTCATGCATCATCACAATGCAAGACAGCTATTCTGGTAAGGAAAATGATACCGCTAAGTACATTTAACATTGAAGTCGAATCTATGACACAGCTTCTGGGAGTGTTTCTCTTGAACAACCCTAAACATTTTATGTAAAGAAAGGGAACAAAATATCCTCAAGTAGTGGAAATTGTCCTGTCAAACTTGATTAACTTCAAATTTACCACTGCTGTACATGCTGCCTTAAACATTAATTTTTGTGCATAAAAAAAAAAGAAAATAAAAAAGTCCTGTAAAGATTCCTTTCAGCACTGATATAAAATAGCTACTTTTGAAGAATTCCTTAATAGGATAAGAATATCACTTGTAAAGAAACATATATTTGATCTGGCTGAGGATTCACAGAGAGGGTCCTAAAGATGAATCTCTGTTACTGCCCAGCCAAGAAATGTCATCCCTCTGAAAATCACTCTGGAGAAAACACACCACAGTGGCAACAGTAATAAAGCACAGTAGTATTTTAGTCCTCTCTGTTTTCTTTCCCCTCCTAATATGCACTAACGGTTTTACTACTTGCAAAGAGCAAACATCAGTAATAAAGCTTACAACAGCCACAAAAGCTATTTACAATAAATGGTCAAATCAGATCTGTTAAGGACTAATTAGCAAGTGGCATTTCTTTCAATGATCATTGCCTAGCACTTGTTTTCAGTGAATGTCTTTTATTATACTGCCAGTTTAGATACATCATTCTGAGTTTTCTTGGTCCTTATACTGCTACAGAGATTTTAATATTCATTCTCTATTCTGTAATACTGCTGGTACAACTACAGGACCTGAAGATAATATTCCTGTTTTGCTTAGTGTTTTCACAAGGGTTGAAAAAATGTTTTTCTCATAAACTAACAATTAACTAAGCACTAATACTTTTAGTTAATGCTAAATTAGGACTTTTAATTTTATAATATATTAACGTAGTAAAATTTTGTCCAATTCATATCTAAAGATCCTAAAGCATATATGGGAGTTTCTAATTTTCCGTCAGGTTTTTTCATCTCCCTGTCTACTTCACTCAGGCTTCCATTTAAACCAAATTACCATATCTTTATTGAAGTCCTCCTCTTTCAGATTCACCCCCTGCTGAATTTCAACCTCCAGTGGTTCAAGCAATTTTTGTATATCGAAGTCAAATTGCTCCAATTCCTTTAAAGGAATGAACAGCTAAAATGGGAGAAATGCAAAGATTATTTATTTAAATCACATACTTAATAGTTTTATTAGAAACATAAATGTAAAGAGACATCTATTCCACCCTCTATTGCCAAAACAATGGTAGACTTTCCATCATGTCGAAAAAATATCTAAACCGTACAACTCAAAGTACCCAAAGCAACAAGTAAAGATAGGTATACAGTATTTTAAAACACTGTAGAATTTCCATATGAGAAAACAAGAATTCTGTGGTAAGTGAAAATTAAAAAAAGACAAAAAAAATTATCACATTTGTGTGTAAGAAAACACAGGTTAAAATAAACATTTTAACATAACGATTTGTCTAAAAATTTAAATGTTGACACTACTTGGCTAAATCTGGTTTGTCAGAAATTACTTGCAGAACAACAAGCAATTGGTTCAGACGAAAAAACATCTACTCCTGCCAATTGTGAAAATTTTTGTAATTTCTTTCAGTGTTTTGAAATCATTGCTTTCTTACAAAGAAAAGCAAAAATGCCAGGAGAGTTATACAAAACAAAAACCAGATCATCTTTGTATAAGATATTCCCCTAACAATATTTTGTAACTTATTAAAAAAACCCAAACCCAACAAAACTTCACTAAAAGAGCTCGTGTTTCAAAAAAGCCTCAACAAAAATGGAGGACCAAAAAATCCTCAACCAAACAAAACAGACACAATTTTTCCAAAATTAATCACAGTACAATTATGGTGCTTTAGCTTAAAGTTCAGTTTTAAACTCTAGAAGAAGTGCCACTTATTAACAATAGCACGCCACTCTTCATCTACCTTACACTCAAGTGCCTATGGATAGTTTAATGTACAATATGCAATTCTACAGGACATAAAACTACCTTTTTTAAGTGCATTGCAAAGGAACAACAGAAAAAACTTTCTTGTTTCAAAGCTTTAAATGCAAGAACAAGCAATAAATTCTTCATGGTTCTTGCACAAAATTTACATGTAAAGGTAATTAATGCTTCACGATGTTCTAAGAACTCTTGGACATAAAACTGTCATCTTGTAAAAGACATAAACACATTATATTCTAATCTGCTCTCTCTTACTCAGTACAATTGGTATTTATTATAAAGCAAAAGTTTGTAATAACGTTAAAAATCAAAGTTAATGAGCTAAAACAAGAGACACTGGACATTATCTAGTCTCAGCTGTTCCACAGATGACCTGGGAGAAATAGGGTAAAAATGCCTTAATTGTATCTGTTTGATTGTTATAATGACAATGATTTCATGCCCTTACGAACATTAATGGAAATACAATAATATATATTATTTATAGAGAATAATACTATATTCACAAATTTTACATTAAGAAACTCAGAATTACACTCAGCAAGCACTTCAACTGAGGTAGAAATAATAGAAAACTACACAGTAATTTATACTCAAATGCTCTGAAGGATGTCTTCAAAAGTACTTAAATCTCACTAACAGACCAACTAATAAGACTGGAATATAAAATCACTAAATTCTGACAAATGGTAAAAACAATAACAAAAAGGAAAATGGAAGGAAAAGATACTAAATAAAATTCCAGTAACTGAATGAGATTCAAAGACCATTTGAAAATGTTAAGTCTCATTTTAGTACACTATGATAATTTTGTTAAGTAAGGACACAACAATTACGTACTGCCATTAACTGACCTCACAGGTCATTTCTTATATACTTTCACTGTTGTACTGATAATTGTTAGCATTTGAAAAAATACATCCAATGTGAAAACAGATGAGAATTGGTTGAAAATAGATTATAAAAGATAACTCTGAGTGAATGATGTTACCTAAGTATGAAAAAACTCAAACACTTAGGAAGCATAATGTCACCCCATAGGAATAATAACTTTTCAGCCCATGAAGCTGAATTCATGACTAAGAGAAGTGCAGTGGACAAAACAAGGCACACAGCAATTTAGTCCTTTATCCAAATGCATACAGCAAGTCAGTAGAACCATCAGGAATCCAGACAAGCTTTTGCTTCTCTATGTAATGCAATACCTTTAAATATAGATATTCTTTGTGAATCATACCCCAGCTGACCAGTCCCCAAGGTCCTGGAAAAGGTCCCCCAAATTCAAATTTACTGTTAAAAGTATATGCTGTGGTTATTTCTCTCATCTTGCTAGGTACATAACATAGAAAGCTTAGTGAGGTGCTGCCATTCCAGCTCATCTTGCCTATATGATAATAAATGGGAGAACACCTGAGAGAGAAGGTTGCCAGGTGGAAGATGTATGCAGGCTGTGTTCTGGAGACACTTCATCGTGATAAGCATCTTTCTCCCCTTCTTTGAGTGAGCACACAACATGCAATGCAAATGGTTAACCCTGGATAAACCATCCACAGGCACTCCCACTCTTCCCTAAGACAAGCAATAATTTCACACAACCCTATCAAAGGCTGCATCAGCACTGTATGCTTCCAGCATTGTGGAACTGCAAGGTAAAACTGAGAAGGAAATCCAAACTGCAGATAGAAGATGTTCAGAATAAAAATGTCACACAACACAGCTGTTTGGGCTTTAGGCCAAGAAGCTCTCTGTCTACAGTTTGTACTTCTGTAAGATGGAAATGAGAAGCACACTGGAATGGCTGAAATACTACTGATGGTCAATGGGAGAGGAAAAAAAAAAGAAAAAAAAAGATGATCTTTATTCATAGGACATATTCTTTTCTGTTCCAGAAATGAAACCTAAATAAACTCAAATAACCACAAAGAATGTTCTGGTTACATAGGGTATTAAGCCCTACGAAATCCCAAACTAATGAAAACCATGCCTCTTTGCTTATGCTTTTTGCAAAGCTTATTTCCTGCCCTGTCACTGATCCTCTGTGCATCCATTTCCAGTGCTATTACACTAGCCAGAAAAAAGAGTTAAGATTGGGATCTATGCATTCCCATTATCCTATATACTGACCTGTATAACTGCCTGCTTTAATCAGCTGAATAGCTCTCCGCAATAAAGGCAGCAAATACAGCGGAGAAAGTAGGTGGCTTATGCCCTCCCTCATTCCAGTTCCGAAGTCACAACTAAAAATTACCTAATTCATATAGAATTAAGATTCAGTAGTCAAACTAGTTGTATAGATGAGTAGCTGAAGTATAATTGATATGATCTGTCTATATCTACCTATCTAACTATATATGTATATCTCTAACCTTGGTAAGTCACAGCCTCTTTTCCTCATAAGAAAAGACTAAGTGCATTAAATGAAAAACTAGCCCCTTAAACCAATCTCTATCAAAAAGAAAGCTAATAATCCTTTGAGAAGATTAAGAATCTTACTGGTTCCCACATGCTCAGATTTTATAAGTTAATGAAGTAATCATTGTTACATTCATATAAAGTCAGTGAATACTTCTAATTGTGAAACAGTGAAAAAAGACCTTAATGCCAAAAAATTCAAACCTTCACACTTTAAAAAAAATATATATTCTTAGGATCTACATTTTTTTCCTTTAGAAGCTTAGTTTTTGGAGAAACTGCAGCCTGCTATGTAGTTGTAATTGTGCACGTTATGTAAATACCATTTTGTATGCATCTCCATATGGAAGCAAGTCCTCCTACCTTTCCACTCTTAATTCTTTGTGATATAGTTGCAAATCGCTGGTTGAGCTCTGTCAGTTTAGGCTCTATTATTTTCCTGCAGTGATCTCCACGGTTTGTCATCAAGTCTACTGCCCGGTCACGCACAGAGTCCACCTTTGGATGCATATCATTCAGCTCAGCCTTTAAGCGCTACAGTCCGTGAGCAAGAGACAGGGCTTGAAGTTAGTAATAAATGCAAAGAGAGAGAAAGAGAGAGAGAGAGAGTGTGCAAAGGAATAGGGAGCAAAACCACAAAGCAAATTCAGATAATTATGCGAGTGTGTACATCCTGTAGAAATACAAACATTGCCACTCATATCCCTCAAATTTATAGCAGGAATGTATCTACATGTCTGTTTTAATATCTCCTAGAGAAAATTAATGGTGAACATTATTTCTAGTCAGGTTCTTTTCTGCAACAATACAATCCTCAGCATATTTCAGGATACACTATATTATTTTATGTTCCTAAATCTAAGAAGAGCTGCTAATTCATGTATCATGGATCTGGACGTAAAGTTGTCACTTTCATTACTGTTTACACCCATAATTGAGGCAGGGAAAAATGACCAGATGAAAACCAGTGGGAATTTTTTCTATAAATCTATTGCAAATTACAAAAAACTCAGCGCAAATACCTTTTACTATGCAACAGTAATGTTAACAGTAGATCCCAGTATGGGAAGAGGCCAAAAAAGACAGACAGGCATTCAGGAATCATGAACACAGCTGGGCATTAAGAATCACATTTCACTGTCTACCTGAAATGTCTTTGTGCAACATAAACATATATACCTGTATTGATGGCAAAGACAATTGTACTTTGCACCTGATGCTGGCAAAATTGTTCATTCAGCTGCAAGTCTGTCCTGTAATCCCACTGAGATCAATGAGGCATTGATTTACGCTCTGCCTTGGAATTTGTAAAGTTTTGCTTTAGTAAATGCTATAATTGTGTTAGTGCCAGTTCTGATTTCGATTTGCAAACTGTTCCTCAGATAGTATGAACTGACCACAGAGTTCAATACAAAGCAAAACTTCACACTGATTTCAGAAAAAGAAATCCATATAGATAACAATTTTAAGTTTTTAAATCTCAACAAAGACGGCATTTTAAATTATATACTTTAAAATTGACATCTATCTTGCAAGTTAATTTTTCATTAGCTGGTCAAATGATGTAATGGGCCAAATAAAACCTTCTGATCAATATATTAACCTATTATTATACAGCTAGTTCACCATATAATATTCATGTCTGTGGTGCTGGTCTGGCATCAGTGCAAACAGTGTTTATAGAATTAAAACAATCATAAGACAGAGATAACAAACAGAGATAACAAACAGAGATAACATCAACATCAGAAAAGTATCACAGAAAAAGAGAAAAGCTATTAAAAATAAAGATCATGGGAAAAAAAGGCTTTTGTTCAACCAGATGTGTTAAAGGAGTATTTTCCAGCAAATATTGGTTTAGCATGCTGCTGTTCTACTCACCAAGAAGTCTCCAAGACTTACAATAACATATCTGGTTTTATTTCTGCAGGGATTTAACTTTTGCAATGCAGCACAAATTTATTAAGTAATCTACAAGCTGCCACAGGGCAGCTTTATCACAGAAAAAAGAATGTTAATCAACTTGTGATACCTTTCAAAATACGCTAGTTTTGACATTCCTTTTTAGAATAAAATCAATGCTTTCCAGAAAACCACATTTTTTACCTTAAGAATTTCCTCTTTTTGCTGGGGTTTTTGTTTATCAGATTCATCCAACAGTATTTCAGCACGATACATCCAAGTTGTGACATTAGCTACATTCTGATCAAAAGCCTCCATGTGCTTTTGATATTCCTGTATGTGGAAAAGGCAAATACTGGATACAAAAACTGTAATCAGAACTGAAATAATAGCCATAATTATGCCAACTGTAGCAAACACGCACACATTATTAAATTAAACTTGTTTATTTTAGACAGTAACTGCTTGTTATGCGAAGGATAGAATCTGTTGTTTGTTTGCTCTCACTTTATAAATTATGTTTCTTTAAAAAGACATTCTAGGAGACAGAGAAGCTTCCAAAGTGACAGGCAGGAGGGTGACACAGTTGCAGCAAGACAGGGATGTCTGCAGCTCAGCCAGGCTGCCGGGAGGAACAGGAAGCTGACAGCCAGACCTACTGGAGGTAGAAAGAAGAGCTTCCCAAGAACCAGGTACAGAACTCATTCTGGAAAGCCACTATGTTGATTGAAACTAAGGTAGAAGAAACAAGGGTGCACCTGCAAAGTCACAATCAATAATGCAAGCTTTGTATATAAAACTTTAATTTGCATTTCACTTAACTTCTTGGCTTTGAGAACCTGCTTTTTAAAAAGCTATTCTAGTTGATAAATCTGATAAGTCTTCTTTTTTCCCTCCTTAATTTACAAATCTTTTGTCTTTTTTGGTGAGCTCACTAGAATGAGGTCTACACATATCCACCTCAGAACTCCAGGCGAGCTATGTGTAGTTTGGCATAATACTAAGTAACACTTTTTATAGCCAAAAAGAACAGCTCAATGACATGTTGCAGTGGTTACCACTGGTACATTACTAAAATATCAATATTCAGTCTGTGTTTACAAGTCTGTCAACTGTGGCAAAGATGCTTACATTACGAAATTAAACTTGTTCACTTTTCAGTAACTGTAGAGTCCAAAGCAGAGAGAAAGTAGAGGAATACATAACTATACCAGTCTGTAAACTCCATTATATGTTTCTTATAATCAGTTTCACATTGAAGCTGAGCACCTATATCATGTTGAATGAAATGTTTAAGTTTTCCAAATAAAATAGGCACAAAAAGGTGCTTGCACTTGTATAGTGCACACAGCTGAAGAAGTCCTGTAGTGATGCTGTATATCCATCGGAAAAGCATTCATCAGGTAGCCATGCAGACTCTAGTGGATCTCTAGCTCATAAGGCTCTGAAAGGTCATGATAAAGGGTAACCCACCCTTGAGAACCAATTTAGTTTCTCTGGTTTGAAACTGTATTCCCATTCTTTTGGCACAAGAAATAGAATTCAAGATTTCCCAAAGCATTCTGGCAATCGAACAGTTAAGACTCTTCTGAGTTTAAGGGTTCAAGCTGCCATCTCTTCATAGCAGAATTAATTTTAAGGGAGAATATAGTTATGTGAATATTAGCAGATTCAAGTAGCTGGGGCTGGGGCTCCTGAATCGGAATTAAATGTGGTTTAGGGATTTTACTTTGGACTGAAATTAATCTGGTACCCTTAACTAAGTATCCCCATGAAAACAGGCACCACAAAACATGGACATCATGCAGTTCTTATATTCCTTGAGCACACTAGGAGTGAACTCTGAGCTTCTGATTTAGTTGCCTCTGAAATGAATCTAGGTGACACACACAAAAGCTACCCTGTGGACCAAACCAATATGCAAGCAGGGACTTCCCACCTGCACTACTCCAAACAGAAATGCTAATGTAGCCAAAAGCAGACAAGGCTGTTGGCATCAATACCAAGACTTGTTCAAACTATTTGACTATCTCTCTCACTTCATTCATATTCAAGTAGTCTAGGTGCTTCGGCAGAAACTGCATTTCATTGATTAGGGAAAATATAAATAGTCCAGGAACTACTGAGGCAGACAGGAACAGGAAGCACTAACAGTCAAGACTCCACAAATCTACCATTCTGTAAACAGTCAGATTCTTAAAATATACACCACATACTAAATAACAATCAGTCTGATTGTCTGTGTACCTATGTATTCAATAAGTGTAGTCCAAGGCACCAGAAAAAGCACTTCTATAAGGCGGAGCACCAATATTTCCTTTAGGTGAACAAATGCATTTTCCTTACCAGTAACAGATTGAACCATTCCTCAGCACGTGAAGTTACTGCTATCCAATTACTGTTCAAGAGGCTGAGTTTATCCTCCACTAGACTTTCCTTTCCTTTCAGCACTGTCTTCAAATTTTCTCCTAAATCACTGATGCTCTTAAGATTGACCTGGTGTTTCTCAATCTCCTTCCGTGTTGCCTACGTGAGCAGAATAAAAAAATAAAAGTTGAAGAAATTAAAAATTCTCCATACTAAGAACATAAACAATTAAAACAGCCAGTGATTTCATACTAGAACAAACATTCATGCTTCCTGTAGGAAGGGAAAGGATTCTGTGAAGAGCAGTAAGTAAAAAGTAAATTCATTCTCTTTACCTCTGATGAAATTGCAAATACTCTTCATATTCTCACAATAATTTTTGGTACTAGTTTCATTTTTAAAAATGTTAATTGTATCTCATTCTACTGTTCAAAATACAGTTTTAATACTTAATTATTAAGCAAGAATCCACATTTTACAATATTTATATTGCTATATTTAAAGTTACTCTGCATATAATAAAATGGCATAGTTGTCAAATAGCACATAAAATTTACATAATAAATGGGACAAAAATAAAGCATCATGATGACATTTTAAGATTTATAGAACTTCACTGAAAACAATCTTGTGAAATATTTTAATATTCCTTTAACATTTTTCAATGCAATCTTTTTCAGCACAAACCATGTTCTTCTCTCCTGTTAGATTTCTTGTTTCCTAACATTCACTTGGGATCTCTCTCTGCAAACTAAAATGCTAAAATAAACTATTATCCATTGCAACTCTAAGCTTGAATGACTAAAATACATGTGCAGTCCTACAAGATCAGATTTCCAGCATCTCCTCCCACTATTATCTTGCCTCATATAAATAGATTTAAAGTATATGTAAGGTCACATAATTTACTCATTATTCATGTCTTAATATTTGTTGCAACATGCAAGAAATCTAATAAAAGGAGAAAACCCCAACATATTTAGACAAGATGTAAAAAAGCAGGAATTTAATTAATAATTACTGAGATTGCTCTGCAGTGCTGAAAGGCATGGGGACAAACTTTACTGAGAATTCATAAGAGGTTGGTAGTTACATACAATAGTATTTTACCTATTTTAGATATTGATCCATGGAATGACAGGATGAATCACATTAGTATAAATAAATGCAGTTCCCTGTGCAGCCATGCACACTTTTAGTGGGGTTCACAGGTCTCTCTCTTACCCTGCTGTACTGTGTCACACTCTT